GAAAGCACAGAGCTGCCCCAGCTGCCCGGGTTGCAGGTACTCACGGACTTCAGCTCCTTCCTCCCTCTTCTGTCCCAGCTGCCTGTTCGGGACTTAAAGTTTGACTCAGACTCACCCTGAGATTGAACATCCATGCCAATCATTTTCACTGTTTTCTTTAGGCTGTTGAGAAGGGCTAGTTCCTCCAGGGCAGTCAGAGTCCTACCTTCTCTTTATGTGTCATTCTTCCTCATAGAGTGTTGACTCTATCCAGTGCCACCAGGAGGTGAAAGAGCCCTAAGGAACTCTGCCTCCTTAGCTTCTTCAGAGAAGTCCCAATGGCACTCGTGTTATGTCAACAACTTTCTCAGAGCATTCTCCCTTATTCCAGACACACTGCTTTTGAACTTTTTCTGGCTCCGGAAGCGCTCATCCGGAGTTTTGAAATTTGTCAGCCAGGAAGAAGCCTCTAAGGGTTGCTCAAAGTGCTGCTTGTTGTGGGTGGACTGCAGACAGTCCACAGTTTTAAACCAAAGATGAAGATCTGGGATATGCAGAATCAGCCAGTCATGGTTTGTCCAGAATGAACAACATGGCAAAGAATGAAGTTTTCTTCCTATTTCCTTCTGTCCAAAGAGAAGACATTGCACAGCTGGATGAGCAAAATCAGTATTTTTTGAGGTAACCCAGAAACTCTAGGGCTGGCTTCTTCATCATCAGTCAAGCTTTGCCAACTCTTTTGGTGTGACCATGAGGAAATACCAGGTTCAGATCCTGGAGAGGAACGCTTCAGTACTAATCTTCATGCTCTTTCTGGTGGTTAGCTGGGTCATTCATTGTCTCTGGTATGGGAAATACTTTTGGGATACTCAGCTAGAACCTGATTTTGCTGAGAGGCTTGGGCACTCCCATGTAAAAAACACCTTGGGTCCAACACCTGGACCTCTGTTATTCCTGCCAGCATTGTCTTTGCTCTCATGAGTCCCCCCACCAACCAGTTCGCCTGCTGCCAGTGATCCCTCCAGCAGCTGGATCCATGGTGTCAGTCCTGCAGCTCAGAAGCAACCTTGGGTCATGAGATAGGAAGAATGCTGATCTTTTAAAGTTGATTTTGTTGTTTGTTACTTTGCTGAATGTGTTGATCTGGAAACTTTCTGGTGGAATTTTTGGGATCTCGTAGGTATATCATAACATCTGCAAACAGGGATTCTTTTTCTATTTTTAATCCCTTTAATATCCTCCTCTTGTCTTATTGCTCTGGCTAGTATTTCAAGTGTTTTGTTGAAAACGAGTGGGGTCAGTAGGCAGTCCTGTCTCTGGTTTAAAGGGTTTGCTTTAAGTTTTTCTGCATTTAGGATGATACTGGCTGTGGGTTTGTTGTATGTAGTCTTTATTGCATTGAGTTATGTTTCCTTTATTCTGACTCTTTTTAGGATTTTTTTTTTAAGACAGTATCTCTTTATGTAGCCCTGGCTGTCCCAGAACTTACTATGTAGACCAGGATAGTCTTGAATTCATAGAAATCTGCCCACCTCTGCCTCCCAAGTGTTGGGATTAAAGAGATGTTCCACTATGCCTGGCCTTTCTAGGACTTTTATTATGAAGGGGCATTGGATTTTGTCAAAGGCCTTTTCTGCAACTATTCAGATGATCAGTTTTGTCTCTAAGTATATATGTGTGTGTGTGTGTGTGTGTGTGTGTGTGTGTGTGTGTATTACACTGGTTGAATTATGTATATTGTACTATCTCTGCATCTCTGGGATAAAGCCAACTTTATCCTGGTAGATGACGTTTTTGAGATATACCAGTATTCATTTTTTTTTAAAGAAAACATAATTTCTTTATTGATTCTTTGGGAATTTTACATCAGGCACCCTAGTCCCGCTTACCTCCCAGTTCCCCCCATATCTTCTCCTTACCCCTGTAGTGCCATCCCCGCCGCAAGAAAGCTAAAAACAAAACAAATCAAGCAAGCAAACCAAAATTCCTCTCTTTGTCTCCTTTCCTACCTCTGCAACTCCTGCTTATTTGTGCTGGTGGCATTGGGAGCAGCGTGTCACACAGAATGTCTTTTTGTCCAGTCAGCTCTATTAGCAAATGTTCATTGCAGAGTTACTGCTCTGGTTCAAGGCCTCTGGTTTCTGGCACACTATCATCACTGGATCCTCACTGAAACTCCTCTGAGATATCCTATGGGTATCATTCCATAGGACTAGTCCCTTCATGAGCTCCAGCACATCTGTCCTAGATGTCCTTGGGTGGGGCAACCCAAGGTCTGGCTGTGGGCCTGAGTGGTAGCTGAGCTAGTCAGTCTGGGCCACTGGGGCCGTCCTCCTCAGGTGAGGGGACAGAGCTCCTCTGCTATGCCCATGCCATCAGGGTCAGCTCTCCCTCACATGTGGTAAGGTTGGGGCCAAACCTCCTGAGTGCAAGGGCCCGCTCTCCTACAAGGGTTGGACCAGCTCTCTTGCTTAGTGTCCATCAAGAGGCAGGGCCAACTTTCTCAGGGCCAGTGAAGGGCAGGGCTGGCTCAGCATGGCCTTCTGATCTCTTCATGCATGGTTCCTATGGCCCTTGATGTGACACAGGCCACAGACATCAACACAGACCCCAATTGCAGGTGGGCCTCAGACCCAGACATGGCCCTCGGCAGCTGCCCAAGTCTGGATGACAATGGAGTCCTGGGTGACAGCACAGGCCACCCAGACCAGCCTGGCTCCAGTGGCGGCATAGCCCTTGGACACCTATATGGCCGCAGCTACTTGGCCACAGGTGGCAGCCCAGGCACTGGGCATCCTGTGGCCTTTGGTGGTATCATGGACCATGGATGCCCACACAGATCCTGGCTGTGGTATGACCTTGGCAGCAACCCGGGCCCAGATGTCACTATGGCCTCAGATGACAATCAGGCCTCCCTCATCAGCCTGTTCCTCACTTCCTTCACCTCTTCAGCTCTGCCTCTCTCCACAGCACATGAACCACTCCACGTCTCTTTCGCTCCTGTTTTCTATTAAACACTTGCTCATCATAATGGGAACCACTTGCCCAGCCCTGCAAGGTGCCAGAAAGCCTGTGGATATCTTCTAGCCTGGGCCTTGAGGGCCCCAGCTGGCATGTGGGTGGCTAGAACTTGCCTGAGTAGAAATACATCAGGGCAGGCTGTGAATTTCTTCCCACCAGCCAGGGCCTTCTGTATTCATTTTTTAAAAACTTCTGTTTTATTTATTTATTTATTTTTACATATTGATCCCAGTTCCCTCTCCCTCCCTCCCTCTCTCCCTCTTACCCGCTCTCCCCCCCCACATACACCCTGACCACCCTCCCCTCCCATCCCCCCACTCCACATGTAGGGTAATGCCATCCAGGAGGGGTCATCTGAATCTATCAAGTCATTTGAAGTAGGGACTAGGACTTCTCTCCTGTCTCTAGGTTAAGGCAGTTATCCCTCCATGGGGGATGTGCCCGCAAGGTCCTTTTGTGTACCAAGAATCCTGGTTCCACTGTCTAAGGTTCCTTAGACTGCCCAGGCCTTCTAACTGAGACCCACGTTCAGGGGCTCTGAGTCAGTCCCATGCTGGATTCCCAGCTATCAGTCTGGGGGCCTGTTAGCTCCTCCTTGTTCAGGTCAGCTGTGTCTATGTGTTTCTGCAGCATGGTCTTGTCCTCCCTCTCTGCATCTGGATTCTAGTTCAGCTCAGTGTTTAGTTGTGGGTGTTTGCTTCTGTTTCCAACAGGTACTAGATGAGGGCTCTATGATGGTGGATAAGTTAGTCGTTGATCTCATTATCAGGGAAGGGCATTTATGGTAGCCTTTCCACTGTTGCTCAAATTGTTAGTTGGAGTCAGTCTTGTAGGTCTCTGGACATTTCTCTAGGTTCAGTTTTCTCTTCAATCCTATTATGGCTCCCTCTTTTATGTTCTCTCTCTCTCTCATTCCCTCTCTCTTTTCTGTCTTCTATTCCTCCCGTGACTCAATCTTCCTAGTCGCACGTGCTTTCCTCTCCTCCCGTTCTCTTTCTCCTAGTTCCCTCTCCAGTCACTGCCCCCCCCCATATGCTCTGGAGATCTTGAGTAGACAGTCTAAGGGACTTCAGACAGTGGAACCAGGATGTATTCCTGGTGCACAAAAGGACTTTGGGGGGCACATCCCCCACAAAGAACATACCAGCCTAGAGTTGTTGGAGACCTGAGTCCTAGAGAATGAACTCAGGAGACAAGAGGCATTTGGCTGTAGGTGTGAAAAGTTATGTTCACAGCATTGGGGGAGGATTGGTGAGGGCTAAGGAACCTTCTCGAATGTTGTACTCCAGCAGCAATCTCTAGGTCTACATGCCTCCAAATATCCTGAAAGTTTCCCCCACAGCCCAGCAGCTGGTCCCTTTCATTTCTTTCAAGTTCTGTTACCTGTACATCTCATTCTTCACTACTCACCAAGGAAGGGGCAGAGGCAGTACTCAGATTCCCACAGACTTCCCCCTCATGTAGCAATGTAGCCCCTCAGAAACACCCGTTCTTCCATTATGTGGGGTCTGATCCCTGATCTTAAGTTTGGTGGCTTTGGACCCTGTGAGATACCAGGCTCATGAGTGCTCTAGGGCTGAAATGAGAGTGGCTAGTAGCCACAGTGCTTCTCAGTAGAAAGACACCGAGGCAGACAAAGGTCACACCCTTCTTCCCGCTGGGCAATGTGTTTCCCCCATTCACTGGTGTTTTTGGAAACTCCTCCAAATTTTTATCCTTGTCCCCAAGAATCCTTTGGTTTCAGAGAGCACATTTCCTCAGTTGTCTTGGCCAACTGATCCCCCACAGGCCTCCAGGAAACGGCCTTCCTGTTTCTGAATCTTCCAGCCTTCTTTTCATTCTCTGTTCATCTTAAAAGCATTTTCTTTTTCCTGGAAATGGTTATGCTGCCCAGAAAGCACAGAGAGAGCTTAAGTTTCAGTTTTGCTTCCTGCAAAGGCATTGGTTAACCGTCAGCCAGCTCCTGCCTATCCACAGAGACAGCTGAGAGCTTACCTACTCTGTACACTGGGGCCCATCGCTCTAGATTCCACAGAAGGTCTCTCCCAAGCCTCTGCTCTCCTTGATGTTTGCCTGAGGGAGGGCACATCTGGGCAGCTGTTTGCGGCAGTGTTGTGAGCTGCAGCAAGCAACAGATTCAGTGTTTTCTGCTCTGTTGGTGGAAACTTTGGCTCTGATTACGGCAGAAACTCTTTGGAGTTGGTGAGTGAGAAAAGCCCTTGCAGTGACCTGGGTCTCAGCTTTGTGGGCACAGGGCAGAGCTGGCTTGACTAAGCAGCAAGGCATGCCATCATAACTTCACAGAAGGGAGTTGTGTGTCTGGAGCTGCCGTTGGTGCCGGTGGTGCTGAGTTGTGAAAAAGTTCGGACTTTGCAGAATGTTTATGGGTAGCTCTCCCAGGAAACCATGCAGTGCTCACTGTAAAATAGCTGTGTGTTCCAAGTCTACGTTTCACCACCAGGGAGCTTTTGTCACAACTCTGTGAGGTTTCCATAATTAGCAAAAATCTAAGTAATATTTCAACACTGACACAGGAGTGAAACCTGTTTGCTGGGGTCTGCCAATGTCCACCCTGCTCTATAAGAAGACATCCGTTGCCATTTTCACACTCATAGGATAAACCTGAGAGTAAATGTGTCCTGTTTCTGTTTGCGATGCTCAAATATCTCTACTCATTTGTACTCATCTTCTATCATTAGTAATCAGAAATAAGATGATTCTTCTTCCTGTTCCCACTCTTTCTCCTCCATGCTTTTCTCCTTCCCTTCCTTCCCCTCTGTGTCTTCTTCCGTCTTTGTTCTGGGATTGAAACTTGGACTTTGCACATGCTAGAGCAGAGAGCTCCACCACTAAGCTACATTCCCAGCCTTTTTTTTTTTTTAAATAACTTTAATTTTTTAAAAAATTTACTTGTGCGCTTGTGCATGTGCATGCACGTGTGTGTGTGTGTGTGTGATCATACAAGTGCTATGGCACATATGTAGAGTCAGAGAACAATGTTGGGGCATCACACTCACCTCCTTTATGGGGACTGGGACCTCCCTTGTTTCTGTGGCTGTGCTGTGTATACCCTACTAGCTGGCCTGTGACCTTCACACTTAACTCTCCTGTGGTTCTCACCTTAAAGTAGAAGTGTGGAGGTTACCAATGCTCATCACCCATCATATCTGGCCTTTTATGTGGGTTCCAGGGACTGATGGTTGTCAGGCTTGCAGGACAAGTGATTTTACCCACTGACCCATCATCCTGGCCCTGTTTTTACTCCTCATCGCCAATGAAATGGCTTTATTTTTGTCACCGACAGCATGCATGATATGGCAATTGTGTCATTGTTTGGTTTTCAAAATATTACTTAAGTATGCATTAACATAGATTTACATTTAATAATTTTTATATTAAAATATTCTGCAAACAAGATCCTTTCTTAATATATTTTCCTATGTTGTTTCAGATCTAAATACTCTACAAACCCATGAATAAAATATCAACTCTAATGACCTAGAAGTCCATACACATTTTGTAGTTAGAGAGGAGCATCTGCTTGGGTTTTATAAATAATGTGCAGTGTCTACACTGTTTATCACTAATCAAATGCTGATCACAAATTGTTGTCTCCCAACATGGTCCGCTGAGAGTAACCCTTTGTTTCCTTGGTAAAGACACCATGCAGTTTTAAAAACATGAAAATAGCTAAAGCCAATTCTTTTATTAGTTTATTTATTTATTTTTTTTTTACATTCTAATCCCAGTTCCTCCTCCTTCTTTTTCCCCAATCCCCACACTCCCCTCTCTTCTCCCATCTGCTCTCCTAGGAAGTCTACTAAGTCTGTCTCATCATCTCATTGAAGCACAAAGCCAATTTTTTTTAAAGGCAAGATTTTACTATGCTGCCCATGGAGTCAAGGCTGCCCTTGAACTCACAGCTCTCCTTTTTCAACCTCCTAAGTACATGGTGCACTTATCATGGTACTTAGCCAAGCTTATTTTAGTATTTTAAGTCTAATGAAAACCTCCATTAAAACAAAATGCTCCACAGAAAGCGAATGCTTCTACCATCATTTAAAGATTTACTTATTTTTATTTTATGTGTTTAAGTGTTTTGCCTGTGCACACATCAGTACAAGTCATCAGAACCCTGGAACTAGAATTACAGACTGTGGGTGCTGGGACATAACCTGGGCCCCCAAGAGGAGCTTGAAGGGCTCTTAATGGCTGGTCCATCTCTCCTAACCCCACTACCATCATTTAGTTGGTATTAGATAAAACACAATTTAAGAATCAATAAAATGGATTAAAACAGCATTAGGCTTGCAAAACAAAACCCGCGGGGATTCTGTTACAGGAGCAGAGCTGAACCAATACTGTTCTGAATTTTCCAGCATTTATTTTTGAAAAATCACTTCAATGAGTTGTGGCTTAAGGGTAGAAACAAGCTCACTATTATTCCAGAAAAGCATAGTTAAAATTCCTGTTGCACATTTCATTAGTTTTTGTTTACTGAACTGGAAACTTTCATTTCTTCAGAAAATATGGTATATCTTTTAAAATACACTTAGTGATTAAATAGCCATTCATAAGTTATTAGGTTAAAAAGAGAGAAAGGAAAGAAGGAATGAAGGAAGGAAGGAAGAAAGAGAGAAAGATACGACAAGGCCGATATACACATGAACTCTCAGGGACTGTGGCAGCATGTATATGGCCTGCACAGGTCCAAGCCAGTCAGGTTTCCAACACTGACATGGGGAGGTAGACATGAGCTCCCACCACCAACCAAGAAAGTCTCTACAATAAGCAACCATTTGCAAAACAAAATTAATTTGTTCAAGGGAGTCTCACTGGGCATACATACTACTTTTAAGGGCAGGCCCCATGCCCAGCAGTAGATGGCCAACACAGAATGAGCTGAAAGGTTTATTTTGGGAGATGTTTCTGTTGTCATGTATTGCTTTATTTGGGCATTAAAAAAAAAAAACCCTTTCTGGTCTCTTGATTGGATATGATGGTTTAAAATTTTAAGTTTTTATGGTGTATACGTGTGCATTTCTCATTCTCTTTCTTAGTTTCTTTTTCTTTTTTGGTTGCTTAGTTTGTACATTTAGAAAATCCTTGTTTGGCTTTTTTGTTTTCCTGTCTGTTTTCTTAAAGGAGAGTAAAGAAGTAATGGAGCTGGAAGATCTGGGAGGGGATGAGGAAGAGGAAACTGTGGTCAGGATTTTTTATATGAAAATAACTTTATTTTCAATAAAAACTTGTAGGTAAACATAAAAAGGAATTTTGCATATTGGATATTTCACTTTGCACGCTATTCTGTAGGTCTTTTATGGATTTAAGTTTAAAAAGAAAAACTTTCTTAACATTCTCATTAGATTTAGATGGTTCAAACTACAAGTGACACTAAGTTCAACTCTGACATTACCTTTAAAATAGAAGTCTCTAGAAATTTTATTTCTTGATTTAATGAGCTGGTTTACACCAGTTAACTACTCAAGATTTTTTAAAAAGTATTTTCTGTTAAAGCATGGAGTGGAAGAAATGCTTTCCATTCCTGTAGCTTGAAGAGCAAGATTGTGGAGCACAAAGGGAAAGGGATAAAATTCACAAGTGGCTCCCAGTCTCCTCCCAGCTTTCAGTCCAATGCAGCAAAGTCTACAGCTGTCATGTATCAACATGTCAAGACTGAATTTTATGGTGGAAACGTCAGCATGTCATATCTGCTGCTATAACTAGTAGGTTCCACTAATTTCAGGCATAGCAGAGGCACGGATCTGGCAGACAGGCTCTCACTAGGAACGAGGAACACATAACACATGGCAGCAAAGCACAGGGGCCAGGAAGAGCACAGTGCTAAAACCCACTGGAAACACCTCTCTTAGTTCTCTGTCACCCGCTTGCCATTGACTTGCACAGCTACAGCCTCACAATAATTCCTCTGAGAAGGAAACATCTTTCACACTGTTGCAAGAAGCAATTTCACTGCACATTCTAGCCTGCCTGAGACCTTCAGCCTCTTTTGCAGAGGTTGGCCTGTCTCAGCGGGATGTCTCTGAAAGGCCAGCTTCCCCTGCTTCCCCAGCTTCCAGGTCCATTCCTTCTTCATAAAAGTGTATGCAGAGTTCCTGTGTGTGAACCAGGGTTCAAAATTTGGGCTCCCTTGCCTTATTTAGATTGTGTCAGTGGTGGCGGCCATGGTGAGGCCACTTCTCACTAAGAATCAGTCCCAGAAAGGCAGGAGGAGGACCTGGTGTGGAATTGAGGCCTTCCTTTATCCAGGGCAAAGTAGTGATTTGTTCACATCAGGCAGGCCCTGATGGTGGCTTGATCTGCATGTTTTAGGTTTTTCAGTAGTCTCCCTGATTTGCTCAAGAGGCTCATGAACTCACTTTGGAGCTCAGGTGGGTCTTGAACTTGCTACCCTTCTGTCTCAGCCTCCTGACTAGTCGCTATTAGAGGCCACAATAAATTTGATGTGTTTGTTTTATTTTGTTTTGTTTGAGAGTTCAGAGTTTTCTTTCTTCTCTTGAACATTGTTTCAGGAGGATGTGCATGAGCAGGAAGGAGACACTTATTCTCCATAGCTGAACCTTTTGTTTCTGTCTTAAGGACACTAAATGTTTTTGAGGCGTTGGGTATGCTAATTACTGTAATTTCATCACTGGCCATTGCATACTTGTGTGGAAATATCATCTGTTCTTACTCCATGAGTATGGGCAGTTTTTATGGGGCAATTGAAGCAACAGAAATTTATTCTCTTCTAGTTTTGGAAGCCAGAAATGTAAAATGAGTTCAAAATTAAATGTGCAATTGAGCCCATCTGGATAATGTGAAGTATTGACCCCCCCAGAAAGCTGTCAATCACAACAGCCAACTCACTTTTGCTGTGTAAATTCTATATGCACAGATTCTGGGGGTTATGGTGTGGACATCTCTGAGGTCATTGTTCTGATCCTGTAAGGATGGCTGCCATCTCCTGAATCTGAGACACAGAAGCCAACAAGACAGAAAGGTGTGTCTTCTTCAGGGGCGACAACTAAACTCACCAGGAATATAAAGGTGTGACAGTCACATGAATCTGCCTGTGAGGACAGGAGTGGTCCCTAGGGGTCTGTGTGTCTTGAGGGGGTAGGTTTCTGTATTGCCACTCCACTCTCCTTACCTCTCTGGCCTTTCTACTTTCTAACAGATAGCAGCCATGGATCAGTTCATCTCAGACTTCCTGAAGGATCCATCAGGAAAGAATCTCCAAAAGTTGTCTGTGGAATTCCTGCCTTACTACTGTATGTTAATCAGTAAGGTAGGAGGCATACTCTCTCAAGAAACTCTCAGCTGTATTCAAAAGGCCCTCCAGGAGGGAAAACTGACTGACTTGGTGAACCTGATTCAGAAAGCACTGACTATCGTAGAAGATGCTTTCCTGCAGATCGCTGTCATTGGGGAGTCTGGGGCTGGCAAGTCCAGTTTCATAAATGCCCTGCGAAGGCTGAGCCATGAAGCAGAGGGATCAGCTTCTGTCGGGGTTGTGGAGACCACTATGCATAGGACCCCCTATCAACATCCAAAATATCCTCAAGTGACCTTCTGGGACCTGCCTGGGACGGGAACTCCCAATTTCCTCCCAGACACTTATCTAGAAAAAGTGGGATTCGCTGACTATGACTTCTTCATCATTATTTCTTCTTCTCGGTTCACCCTCAATGATGCTCTCCTGGCCCAGAAAATCAAGGATGTGGGGAAGAAATTCTACTTTGTTAGAACCAAGGTGGACAGTGACTTATACAATGAGGAGAAAACCAAACCCACAACCTTCACAAAGAAGAGGATCCTTCAGCACATTCGAGACTACTGTCTGGCTAATCTCAGCGACATTGGAGTGTCTGATTCACCCATCTTCTTGATCTCCAACTTTGATCTGGCTGACTTTGATTTCCCAAAGCTGGAGGAAACTTTGCTGAAGGAGCTCCCTGAGCACAAGCGCCATACGTTTGCACTGCTGTTGCCCACTATCTCTGTTGCTGCCATCGAGATAAAGAGAGATTTTCTCAAGGAGAAGATCTGGCTGGAGGCCTTAAAGTCAGCAGCTGTGTCTTTCATTCCCTTCACACCCTTCGTGTGCGGCTTTGATTTGCCTGAACAAGAACAGTGCTTGAAGGATTACCGAAACTATTTCGGCCTGGATGATGAATCGATTGAAGAGATTGCTGAAAAGCTGGACACATCCATGGAAGACATCAGGGGCTGCCTCAAGTGCTTGAATTTCTGGTCCCTTGTAAAGGATGACAGCATATCAGCAAAAGTCATAAAGGGTGCTGAATCTTTTTTTGCAGTGAAAGGAGGTCCTGAGTCTTCTGTCATCCAGGGTTTGAAAGTCTACATTCTACGCTTAAAATTCCTTGACACGGTGGCTGATGATGCTAAGCACCTCTTGAAGATGATATAAATAGTAAACATTGCCTAGCTAAACAGTAAATGAATTTCAGGGCTTGTGTGTCCAAGTTGGGAATGGGGGTGTCCTTCCTCCAAACTCCCAGGCCAGCTCTTCCCTAAGGTCCACAGATGTCTGTCCCACAGAGAGGGTCCATGCTTTCCTTTAGAGACCTCTCCCATGAGTGAATTTTCTTTTTGGCCATAGCCTGTTTTCTGTGTCCGTTGGCTTATTATGCTTGATTTCCAGCAGTAGCACATCACCTGCTTTCAACTAATCTCTGTGCTAAGAGATAACCTGTTTCTGACCCATTTATACCAAAACCACAAAACAAAACAAAAAACCAGTTTGTAGTAAGAAGATGAGAATTATACATTACCATTTCCCAGTTCTTTCTCAGTTATCATCTAAACACCCTGCTCATCACAATGAAGGATGGTCTGTAAATATGAGGACGTTGTTAAAGGCATAATACAATGTTTGCAGTGGGAAAATGCAGCCCGACCAGGAGGTGGCGAGAAGATAAGATAAACGCAGTGAAGTAGGGGATGAAGGCACAACAGCCCACTTGAGCTTGTGGCTCTGGCAGACCTTGCCCTTCTCTTCCATTCCCTCTGCCTTGCTAAAACCCTTTAGGTTACAGTCCTATAGCTAGACACCAAGGTCTGTTCCCTTATTTGGCCTCTTCCTCCTCCTGAGGTTACCAAGGTCCAGCTATCAAAGTATTGAATCCAGCAGTCAGAAACCCCCTTTGGCTCACCTAATTAACATGCCCAATAAAAATGAAACACATCATCCTAGCACAGGAGTTTCCCCTTTTGCATTTTTAAACTGTCATTTTCCTATGTTTCCCCATCTGTCCTCTGTCCAGAGACAGCTCTTTGCCCCTGCAGGGCAATTCCCCCTTCCACTTTCTCTTGTCCCCGTCTCCTTCATCCCCTATCTCTTTACCCTAGCCCATTCTAACACATTCCTCTCCTCTTAAAAATTGCATCTGCAAGGTCATTTGCTGCTGTTTTCTACCTAAGTCAGAAAGCAGCCACTTTAACTTTTCTCAATAAAGATCTCTCTGTGAAAACAGGTGTTTGTGTCGAAACTGGGGTCTGGGAGGAAGCTCCTGCGGTATGTAGGGATGGGCTGGGGTGTCTCCTTCAGGAGAAGATCCAGGAAAGAACACGGCACGTAAGAGGTGGTGGTGGGGAGCAAACACTGGCTGTGTCTGTAGCTAGGAACCCGGCACACTAATGTGAGAACAGGTATGGCTGCTTGCAGGAACAGCAGAAATCTGATGGGGACTAAGGACTAAGGAGTCAGGGTGGAGAGAGTATGGAGAAAGTACTGAAGTCACTTCAAAGAAGACCTTGCTAGGACTTTGTTTTTTCCCAAGGGAGGCTGAAGGCAGGAAGCTGAGGCGGGCTGGATATTGGAACAGCTTAGCCTAGCTCCCCAGTAGGAAATCACTGGTGACTATTGAAGCACACCTGTGGAGAGATCAGGCTGTCACCTGGGAGGCTGTCTGTCTGTATTCATCCTAGATGAGGTGTCTGCTTGGGGAGTAAACGTGGACTGTGAAGGAGCAGCAAAGGCAGTAGAGAGGCTGGGAGAAGGGATTGTGTGGGTGACCCCTCCCTGTGTGACTGGGACAGCAGCATCACTGCCACCTGACATGGAGAGGGGTGGAAGGAGCTGAAATGAGGAGAGCGATCTGGGGTTCAGCTGCGCTTACATAGTTAGGATCTTCCTAGACATACATACCTGGAGGAGGTGTGTAGCTAATGTGATAACTGAGGTGGGGGGAATCCTGGATGATCTAGGATGGGTTGACTTAACCAAATGGGTGAGTAGATACAGCTGGATCAGAGTCTGGACACCCCAACTCTCAGGTCTCACAGTGGACAGATTGTACTAGACATACCTGCTTTTTGTTTCATTAAAACAAACAAACAAACAAAAAAGCAGGTAATCCACTGGTCTCTCTCCCTCTCTCTCTCTCTCCCTCTCATTCCTCCCTCCCTTCCTTTTTTCCTTCTTCCTTTCTCTCTCTTTTGTCTTTGGGATAAACTGTCTTCTCAAACGCCAGAGTCTTTCCTTCATGACTTAAAGCTCAAACTAAAAGTTCACTAACAAATCCCACTTTGAGGCTGAAGTTGTGGTGGGCCATATAACAGGACCTTGACTAGGAACCAACCTTTCTTTTCCATTTAGACTGAGAAATGGCCACAGTGCCTCCATTTCAAAGCAACCACCCTGGAGCAACTCCAAAGTTGTGGGGAAGCACATGGTTGTCAAATGCTCTCCTTCCAGAAGGCATGAAAGGGTTAGGTTGGGGATGTGTAATGAAACACTTAGAAGAAGTTAGGAGGTGTCATCTAAGGGGACAGGTGTCATGCACCTGTTTTCACCTTAGAGTTTGATTGGGTTGTTGAAGCCTGCTCCAAGTCAGCTAGGAATGCTGAGTAGGGGCGTGGAGATTGAGAAATGACAGATAAAAGAAATAGAGCCAGAAGCACAGAATAGATTTTGGAGGGCTGTTCAGTCCATGCCTTTCAGCACACCAGGCAGCCCTGAGTTAAATTTAGAACCTGCTTGTATACAGACTAGAGGCAAAGCAGAACAAAGAGCAGCACAGTCAATCAGTAAAAAAGCACCCTGCCCTGTCCTTAAATCAGAGCAGGCAGGCTTTCTGTCTATCATGTGAGTCCCGCTAGCAGCAAGACGCTTCATTCCCTGGCTCTATGTGTCTTTTTGGCTGGCCTTCACCAGTCTGCATCTTAAGATAATGCATCTTCCCCATGGGCTTAATCAGAACTTTCTCATAGCTCTCAAGGAGACGGAAACAATCAACCTTGAACTCTAATGTCTTTTAAGTCAGAATAGTCTCCAGATGGAAAGATGTCAGAAGGGATTTTGAAACTTCAGTTACACAGGGCTGGTAAGATGCCTCAGTGAGTAAAGGGATTTTACCATACAAGCCTGGAAACCTGAAATCAAATTGCTGTACCCATGTAAAGGAGGGAAGAAAGAATCAACTTCGTAAATTTTTTTTCTCTGACATGCATACACATGTTATGGTATAACTGCCTTCCCACACTAAACACATACACAAGTAACACCAAGGACAACAATAAATACAAAAATTAAAAAGATCAATTAGATGACAGTGAACCTGTTGCAACTTGACAAATGTAAAGACAAGAATTAGATTGCCTATCTGAGTGGAGTAAGCTTGCTGGAAATAAGGAAGTGTGTGGTCCATGTGTCCCATCTGACTCACATGCAAGAGATAGCTAGTGAGGAGCCATCTCAAGTCCCTTCCTGAGGCATTCTGGGAAGGCTAGCTTCAAATGTGATGTGTATATGAGAGAAAATGGCTGTTAGTCTTGCTAACTCTCTCGTATGTGGAGCCTAGATTTAATATGGCACCTTTGTGTGTTTACAAGTGTGTGTGTATTTATTTCTATGTGAGGATGTGTAGGTCATGAAACCAGAGAGGGGACCATGAGAGGGGAAGAGATCTTATGGGTAGAGGGAACTAGAAATAGAGTGGAATGCACCCAAAACAAAAGCAGAGATTGAAATAACCGGGGAAAGAGAGGGACCTCACTGAGGGGAAGGGGTCATGGGAGATGGCAATGGGGTATGTCTACCTACCTCTTGAGCACACATTGTGGCAGCAATCAGATGCTCACAGAGATGGAGTCTCACATAAAAGGTGACGTGGGGAAGTTAATTCTTCAGCTCTCCTTTCATGACCAGAAGCCTCTGTATCCTATTCATTTGGTTATTTCAGTGTGTGGAGTTGAGTGGTCACCTGAGGGTTATACACAGGTTTTACCTCATTAGCAAATTAAGTAAAAGGAACAGCAACTTTGCAATCAATAACTGTCTTTAACCGCAGTCATCAGTAAGGGCACTCGGTCACTGTCATTCAGTTAGACAGCAATGTGGGAAGGAGATGATGGTCAGCCCACTAGTGACTGGTCTTTAGTGTCCTGAATGTGGAAGGTGTAGAAACTTTGGTTAAGCCCCCATTCGGTACAGAGGGCAAATCAAGACATACCCCCACTGTCTTTGGACCCCCAGGCAACTATTGGTGGCAACTCTTAGTCAGAGGCATTAGCACCTTAATCATGGGGACACCCTCAGGTGTACCTTTGACAGCTTCCCCACCCCAGTTCCCTCTTCTTTGGGTTAGCTTGGCTTTTGACGCCCTCACCACAGAAGCCCATCTGCTCTTCCTCCGTGTGTTTACCACTCCCTTCTAAAGTACCCGTTTACTACGTCCCAGAGCAACCATGGTGGCTTTGATAACTGGAGCAAGTTCTGCATTTACAATGGTTCCATTTGGCAGTGGTGAGAAATGATCTGCATTCAGCACAAATGGAGCTGCAAGGGTTAAATTTGGGTCCTTCTCTAGGTTAGCCACATGTGGCAAAACCTTCTCAGGATGGTAGTCGGCCACAGTGGACCACAGCTCTCAGCCAGGCTAGCAGCAAATGGTTGTACTGTTATCAGCAATTTGTAAATAAAGATCTTTAACATAGTGCGTGTGGTAGCACACATTTTACTGTATACTAGGCTGTGTGTAAGATAATTTCACCCCAACTACAAGCAATATCTGCTAGCAAGTTAAGTAGGTTTGGCTCAGCTGTGCTATTTCCATAGATTAGATAGATGAAATTCATTTTTTGTATTATGTCCAACTTACTAAAGACATGCTCAGAGGAGTTGAGAAGCATTTATGTTAATTAGCAATGATAGTGAGACAAATATCCAAGGAAAGGGGCTTAAGGAAGGGGAGATTAATTGAGCTCGTGATTTGAGAGAAGCCAGGGAAGCCTGGGCACAGGGTGTAGTCTCTGGTTGCAGAAGTATGTGGCAGACTGTTGACATAGTAGAAAGAGTGGGGACAGAATTAGGGGCTGGCCTCTATATAACCTTCAAAGGGCCATTCCTGGTGACTTTCCTATCAGCTAGGACCTACCTCTTGAAGGTTCCACAGCCCCCTGAAATAACAACAGCTGGGAAACAAGCACTCAAAGCATAAGACTGGGGGTCGGCACTTCCGCTTTAAGTCTTAACAGCAATAAACAGGGCTGGGAGTTGAGCTCAGTGGGATAGTGTGATGAGCACAAGGAGGGCCCAGCATCCACTGTGCAGCATCAAACCATCAAACCTACAGACAGAAACCACAGACTCCATTGACTTTAACAAAATCAGCTAACCCGAAGCAACCGAAGCGAATTTTTTTTTTTCTTTTTTCAGTGTTAGACATTGAACTTGGGGTCTCACACACACTGAGGAAATGCTCTTCCTAGGTCTGTGATCATCTCCATTTAACGGATGAGGGCACGAATGCATAGAGAGAAGGTCTGTGAAAGACCAAGAGGATGACCTGGGCTTCACTCTTTTTACCTAACGCTGGATCTACATTTCAAGACTCAGCTCAAATCTTCATGAGAATGTTTGTGGCTGTTTTAGTGATAACAAAAGCTCATATTTCAGCAATAACAGAGAAGAAAACCTAAGCACAACATGTCTAGTGTCACCTCTTAAAATAAAAGCTAACCTGGGCATGATGGCGCATGCCTGTAAATACAAGATTTGAATGGTACAAGATCACACATTCAAGGTCAAGGTCCTCTTGGTGACATAGGGATAATTGGGCATGACATGAGACAACACCCCCACCTCTGTGTGTACACACACACACACACACACACACACACACACACACACACACACACACACTAACCAATCCAAAGCACAAAAATACACAACTTAAAATTAAGAAAATCAAAAGGAAAACAAATTCAAAGCCAGATCCCTTACTTATTTTCCATCCTGGCTGGACTCTTGGCTCTCTGCTGACCCCATGTGTCTATTTGCTTTCCTAGCAAGTAAGGCTAATGTGAGCTGCTGAATTTTCTTTCTTTTTTTTTTTTTATTTAATTTATTTTTTTTTAATTTTGATCCCAGTTCCCTCTCCCTCCCTCCCTTCCTCCCTCACACCCTCTTTCACCCCCTCCCTCCTTTCCTCTTTCCCTCTCCCCCCCCACATGTACCCTGACTACACTC